TATCCTTTCCATAACAATACCATCTACTGTGAATGTGCTCACCTGTATATTGTAGCAAAGAAGAAACCTCCTTCCCATTCTCGAAGGATGGAGTGCAGTAAGGTCAGGAACTGATGAGTGATGGAGCTGCTGATTTGGACTGGGAAATCCCACAACACACCAAGTTTACCACTCTTACTTATGAGATGGCACTGCCTGTTGACACAAAATATTGCTGGCTCTGGCAAAACAGCCCCATAATCTAGCAACCGAACTGCCTCCATTTTGGTTTCAACCTCCGGAAAGTGGGAGATGGGCTGTCCTAATGGTGGTGAGAAAGGAGAGAAGGAAAGATTCAAGCACAGGGGTAGGATCTTCACATTGAGGCATCTCACTAAATGCAAAGGGAACCACCACACAGTCTGGAAAATGTCCCACTGTTTTTCAAAATACATGGAAAAATGCCCTCCACAAAGAGCCTCAGCTCTGTGACACCCCAGGTTTGCGTGCTTCTTCCAGACAGTGGGGGGAAAAGTTAGTTTGGTTGTGTTAGTTTGGTTTGTTTTCCCATGGAAATCAGAAAACACCTTCCAAAAATATTCACTCATCTCTAAAATTTGCTTATTTTTGCCATCCTGTTCCCTCCTTTAGGCCAGGTAAAAACTTGAGGGACTAACAAAGGGGAAAAGAAAAAAACAAGGATAATATGACTTTGATGTGCTGCTTCCTTAACCAGATAAGGAATTTCACAGGAACGAAATTGAAAAAAATAGACAATATGAGCGCTTTGAACTGGTGATTTAAATGAATAATTCCTGATGATTTGAGATGAAGGTATGGATGAAGACAATTGAAAGGTCACATAATATTTAATTGGGAGAAATTTCTGTGATGGATTTAGATTTCTAGGCAATTTTCAGCAAAGTCTGAGGTGTGAAGCTTCGCTGTGGGGCTATCTATCAAAGCTAGTTTTTATTCCAGTTGCTTTTTGGCACGATTTGGATCAGGATAACAGCAACTGGGTATGAAGAGATGGAGAGCCCTCAGCAAGACTCTGTGTCATCCACCCCCCTTTTTCCTCACCTTGGTTCTTTTAACAGTTGGTTACACAGGAATGATCCTTACCACGAATCCTGCACAGAGCTTGAAGGTACAGGTAGGATAGTAGTAAATCTTTCATCTGTGCTGCAGCGGTCCATGACGGTAACTCAGACACTGGTACAGAATGTGAGCCTACCTGTGCCCTGCAGCAAAAGCCAGCAGATCTGAAGCACGTGAGGAAAACCAACAAAAGGGAACAGACCAAAGTTGAGCAAAATGGAAACAAACCATCAACACTCAAGCAGACAGCTAAACTAGGGTTAGTCAAGAACAGAAGTTGTGTCCAAACAGGACTGAGAAGAAGAACAAGACCTGGTATTTCCAGTGCTGTTGTTGCTGAAAGCAGTGACAAAATCCTCCTATATTTAGGAAAACTTGCTTTTTTCTAAAAAACTCCATCCTGAGGAGGAGGAAATAATGTATACTTCATGGAAAAGGCTTCCAATGCATCAGTAGTTCTGTGCCTTGTAGGAAGCAAGAAGACAGTTGGGGCAATATTAAAACTGTTGGAGAAGCATCTCAACCTGTCCTACAAATAATCTCCTGCTGTCTCAGCTCTCCAAGATTTTGAAAATGTAATAATTTAAGTACAAATGCACTGTATGCACTCTTTAAAACCACTTCAGATGAACACAAAAGGGAGAAAATATTATTTATCACCTTATAGTGATATAATGAAGTAAATTGCTGATGTCATCTTTTTTTTCCCCCCCTCTCTTTTAGCTATGAACAATGGGGCTCTCAGAAGCATAACTTCAGTCAAATAAAATTGAATATAGGCAACACGACACTATTTTAAGTTTATTTGATTCATTTCTTGCCAGATTCCATTTGCTGACTTTTTTTTTTTTTTTTTTTTTTCCTCTTCCTGCAGGGGAATCATATTAGAGAGGTAGCTATGGAAGCGGAATTTGAAGATAGTGATCTTTAAAATAATTGATGTAGAGAAGTTAACCTTGAATTTAGGAAGTCAACCACTTGCTCAGTTTAACAATTGCTAAAGCGCTCGGATCAGGACTTCTCCTAGGTCAGAAAAACTTGTTTGGAAGGTCCGTGGATCCTGAATAGAAAGGATGATAACAACACAAGGATAGAAGGGTTCCTTGGGTAATAAAGTTTCCTCAGACTTCAGTATCACAGACCCCTGGATTTTAAAGTCATTGAGCTGTATCACAGCCTAGCACAAAGGGCCTGATTCCTATCTTGTGCCATGAGAGGTGTGCCATCAAATTCCACCAGCACTGTCTCTGGCCCTAAGTAATAACTGTGTGCAAATGTATTTCCAGAGCTTGTCTGGGAGCTGAGATTTGTCATCAAGCACATAGAAATTGTTGAGGCTTCCAGTTGTGGAAGAGGATGCTGTCTCTATATTTGACTTACTTTTCTCATGTAATTCACAAGGATTCAGGACAAGTCACCTCTTCCACTCTTCTCTCTATGGGTGAGGGACAAATCCTGGAGCTTGGCTGTGTGAGCAGTCCAACACCTGGCAAAAGCCAGTGTGGAGCCCAGGCTGCATGTACAACAATAACATCTCTTCCCTGCTGCAGACTGGAGCATGATCTAACCCATGCAATTAGGACTCTTTTGCATAAGATAAAAAAAGTCAGATTTTGTTTCTCTCTTACTTCTTCAGCTTAGTGATTAAAGTCAATGCACAGCTCAGATCACCCGAGCTCCCCATTGCTTTGAGATCTCTGTGCTTGTGCAGCACTGAAAGAGCAGCAAAGAACCAAGAAGCACAGGCTTGAGTGATTTGCTGTGAATGCCAACCCCTCCAGCTGACTTGATGATGTATATGTGGGTAGAGCTGCATGATGAGGTGTGCAGAACAGACTGTTCAAGAATAGGGTAGAACTGTTAATCATTATATGTATCAGATCCTACCACAGATGCGTTTGCAGTTCACCGGTACAATCTGAAACATTCTGCTATTGAATACATCTAGTGACAGAACAGCATAGCAATACGTCAAAATAAAACAGAAAGAAGAGGAAGGTTTTTAAAGAGGGGGTAGAAACTAATTCTGACCAACACTTAGGTATAGAAAAGAAAGGAGATCCCTATAACTGCAGAAAGGTCTAGCCCAAATGCTGGGGTGGGTTTGATTAAGTCTTACCAGGCACCATTCTTAGGTAAAAAGTAAGGAGAAAGGTTTAAAAACCAACAAAGATTAGATCACGTATGGGGCAGAAGCAACAAGAAAAGAAGTCAGCAACCAGGATAGGATTTAACTCGTACACATCTGTATAATCAAAGAATTTTAGGATGTTATAATCACAAAATCAAACAAGAGAGTTAGGCAAAGCAGACTATGATAACAAAGAGAATAAATAGAAGGCTTACCCTTATCCTGGGCTCACTCACAAAACACCAGGAGAGGCAATCTCCAGAAGGGATCCTTCCCCACTGGTAGCCAGCTCTTAAATAGGTCTAGGAGGGGGAGGGAGCCTGGCTCCACCCCTTCCAGGTGAATTGCCTTCACCTGTGCTCCTCTGGCTGACTCATGGTCGCCTCAGCTGATCAATCAGAGGTTCCCATACAACATGATCTTCACACTTTTGCTCAGAAAACCTCTAATTACAGAACAATAATTAAGACCAGCACAACAAGAAGACATCAAATCAGGCAGTAAACACCCTGCTCATACCTTTACACACCAAACTTCACACACCACAAATTGTATGCTCGATTGCTGGTGCTTGACCAGTTCACCTCAGGCGTTGAACAGTTGGGTTGGAAGGGACCTTAAAGTGCATCCAGTTCCAAAAGCTGCAGTGGACAGGTGGTTGCCAACTGTCAGATCAGATTGCCCAAAGCTCCATCCAACCAGATCCCCCTTTTAGGATAAGTGAGCTTGGGGTCTGGTCAATGAGCTGCCTTTAGGTGTGTTGGGATGGATCAGAAATTAGAAGAAAGGAGAAATTCCTGTGCTTGGGTCACTGGCAATTGCTCACCTGGAAGTAGTCACCTGGATCAGTAATGGACAGGCAGATGTGAAGGGTTAAGTGGGAGATTAAACACCTGCCAGGGCAGAAGCCTTTTAGCCTGAAATTGTCAAACTCAATGAACATTCTCATAGTTCCTCAATTATCATTCTCTGGAATGTCATCCTCCTCCTCACACTTTCTTTTTTAATCTTCTTGGCTGTCATTACTTTGACGGATGTAGTCTGGATAACTGCCTGCCCAGGCAAAACCAAAGCAAATTGGAGTGTCCTGCTTGCTGGAGGTAATTGCTGCATGTGTACAGTCACTTAGTCAGATTAAAGGCAAGAAACAGCAAAAGAACAGGCACAGCTGTTTCAGAGAATGAGCCTTTGAAAATGTCATACCTGCAGAATATTTAAACCTCAGAACCTTTCCAGTCACCTCTTTGAGAGCTTGAAGCCAATCTGGAACCAGATTCAGCATCAGGCTTAGACTGGTGCAGGGAAAATAAAGTGAGGAGCATCCTCAGCTCATACTTGCCAATTTGAGGTCAAGAGGGGATGATGGAAATCAAGATGATGAGAACCATTGAGGAATTCTCCTGGACTTGATGAGAACAATACACATGCGGGCAAGGTCCCATTTCTCTCGTTACATCTGTTCTGGTAAGATCACTGCCAGAAAGCACTTCGTAAAGGGTAAATCCAACATTACATCTTTCCTGTGGTGCACCAAAAAGAAAAAGATCTGAGCAGTCCTTCTCCCACCTCCTTGAATTTAGCTGGGATTTAGCATTTGTTAAGAGCAATTTAGTGGTCATGTATGATGGTGTAGGTGAGTGTTACCTTGCTTGTGTCACAAAATCACTGGATTTGAATGGAGATCCCAAGCTGCTGAACATGCTCTGTCTTCATTTTATCAAGATCTGCTTCCCATCCCTATTTTTATGCCTTTATTGCTCACTGGAGGAATTCCTGCTGCTGTGGAAGAGAATCAAAGCTCTGTCCCGGTAGGAATAAGATTAGAGCATCTTCCTTCCTTGTTTCTGCCATGTTGTTGGTGATGACGAACAAGATGCTTTACTTGGCACCAATAATTCTGAATAATCTTTAATTTCACAACAGGTATGGGGACACACAGTGGAGGAAAAAGCTGGGGAGGAAAATTGAGTGCTCTGTTGCTACATGTCCCTTCCAGCATGTGACAGAGCTGCATGACACAAATGGCTTCAAGAAACATCTCATCTCCTCATTGTGTTGCTTCCTGTTGGAATCCTAACTGTGCCCTGCTGACCTTTCATGGTAGATACTTAACTCCTTCTATTTCCCATTTTCTCTTTTATCCTTTCCCTTTACGTTTTTTTTTTCTGATCCAAAAGTGCTTACCTCTTCTTCTTAGGAGCAGCTTATTTAGAATGAGCTTTAAAAAGGACGGCTGAAAATCAACTTTTGTGTAAGTGCTTTGAATTTATTTGAGTGTTGGCCTATGACAGCAAGGCAGTCACATCTCTCTTACATTTCTTTTCCATGTGCAGATTCTACCAGCTTCTCTCTGTATTCATGGCCTTTCTTGCTCTCTTTTGTGCAGCTCTGCAAAGGTCAGTCTTGACCTGTGGCATAAAACAGCAATTCTGCTCTGATTCTTTCTGCATCCCATGTCTTGAGATGATTTTTAATAGTCTTGAAGCCTTTTCACATGATTATGGGTGATCTTTGTGGGTCTGATTCAGTATCCGCTGATGCTGCATCATTGATGTTTTAAATGGTAAGAGAGAAATGGAAATAGAAATGGAAATAGAAACATTACAGGTGAAGCACAATGGAATGATTGGCCTGGGCAAACATGCCTATGATTGAAACCCAAAACATTCCAAAATCTTTGATTCCAGGTCAAGATAAGCAAAAGCTGAAACTGCTTTAGAAATAAAATTGTTTTCCCCAAAGTATTTCTATATTTCAGTGCACTTAGAAATTGCATACAAGACACTCAGCTGGTGATATTCTCGTAACTTGTGTTGAAATTCATGCATCGACTCCTACCTCTCGAGAATCAGACTTAAAAATGCACAAGCAATGGAAATTTTCTGGAAAATAAAATATGGCAACAATAAAATCCTTTCCCAAAATAAACAGGCAACAAAGCTTGGTTTTGTTTTTTTTTTCCTCCCTAAATCTGGCGAAGCTAATTAAGTATATTTATCTGACTAGTTTGGTGTATTGCAATAAAACGAGTGTGCGTCTCACTGGTTCTCATTGCTGGTTTATTTTTAGCCTTTCTTTGCCTTATTTTCTTCTTTCTGTGTAAGAAGCAGAATATTTACAAGAATGTGCATCTGAATTGTTTTAGTTCGGGGGCATCCTGGCTTATATGCATCTTTTTTGCCATATTGCACATTCATTCCCAGGATTTTTCTGATTGCTTAGAATAAGAGATATTTATAAGCTTAACAGAGGAGCTTTGATCAGCGTGACGTCTTTGTCTTTTGACAGTCCGACAAATTGCTTGCCAGTCTGTAGGCAGTTTGCCTGAACAGCAGCCCAGCATTGCAGGAGCTGTTTGCTCATTATACTCCGGGCCTGTGTATAATAAGCAGTATGCTGAAGTTTTCTCCACATGTTGATTTTTCCCATTGCATATCCAAAGAAACAGAAATACCCCAGGGAGCTGCTGACAGATCTGATTTTAAAATAGAGCTGGTCAAACCGTTTGTAAAGGGAAAAGGAAAGAAAGCAACGAACCAAAGAACACCCCAAAGCACCCAACCAAACAGTTGGAGAAACAAGAAGAAACCTCGCAGTACTCCAAAGGTACTGAATTTCAACAATTCCTCTATTTTTTCTAGTAGGGATTTACTGGTGAGCAGTCCATTTCATGTTTTTATTCAGTGGTTGGTCTCTGCTCATGGATTGCTTTTATAAAGCACTTTCTTTAGTGGCATTGTGAGCTGTCTTTGGTCTATAAAGAATATACCCTTCAAATACAAAAGACCAAAAACCCAACTTCTGCTCTCCTCATCAATGTTAAAAGCTGCTGAGAAGTGGAGAGAGAGCACTAAAGATGTCTTTTGAACAATTTTTCTTTCTTTTCCCCAACATTTTCTTAATTAAAGCTGATAAACACTGTTCTAAACAGGGATTTGCTTAGAAGCATGTCTCAGGTGGAGAGCAAGCAGTAGGAGCAGGACAAAAAATGGAGTTTTTCTAGCAAGGTTTTGGGGGATGGAGGCATTGAGACAACTTCCTTCCCTGCATCATGCAATTGGTGGCCAAACGCTGTCTTAGATGACAAAAATATATATGAGAATAGATATCTGAAAGCAACTGAAGAGCCACCTGAAGGGAGAGTACAAAGGAGATGGAGCTGTGCCCAGAGTGGTGCCCAGAGCCAGGATGGGAGGCACTGGACACAGACTGGAGCCCAAGAGGCTCTCCCTGTCAGAAGCATTTCTTTGCTGTGCTGGAGCTGGAGCCCTGCACAGGGACCAGAGAGGCTGTGGGGTCTTCTCCTTGGAGATCTCCAAAAGCCCCACTTGCCCTGGGCACCAGCTCTGGGTGTCTCCTTGAACAAGGGGAATTGGACCAGATGATGTCCAGAAGTTCCATCCAGCCTCAAACATTCTCAGATGCTGTGGTTTTAACCCTTCCCTCCCCTCTTACTTTATGCATACTTCTATATTTCCAGATGCTCAAGATTTCCCCTAAATTTACTGCCAGTTTCTGTCCATGTGATGCTATTTCCCAAGATGGTTTCTGTACCAATCAGACTCCCACCAGCTATTTGAAACTTTACCATTCAGACTAGATTAGAGATTTAAACTAGATTAGAGCACCTTCTGAATCATTACAACTGTTTTGTTTCTTTCTCTTTTATGCACCAAATGTGGGTTGAGCTTGTTGCAATTCACAGTTCTGGTCATTTAACTCCATTTATAAAGAACTGATGAGAACTCTTTAAGCCTGACCTCTTTTGCAAAGTATTTCTGAGGCTATGGGGTAGCATAAAGACCCTTGGCCATATTCTTTGGTATCTCCTTGTCTTTCGGAAGTATTTTTCATGGTGTAGACATTTCTCATCCTTTGTGTGAATCATCACCTTTGCAAATGCTTAGAAGTCACCAGAATAAGGCTGTGATCAAATGAATTCAAATAAGCTCACTGAAAATATTTGTGCATTAGACATTACTTTTCATTTGGAAGGCACATCTCTGGCTGATGCATTGCCTACTGAGTCATTTGGAAACAGCATGTCTAATAACAAGCTCTCAGCAGACTTGTGGTTTCCCATGTGCTCAAAGAGGTGTGTTGCACTACAAACCGTCCCTCCAGAGTTGCTTTCAGAATCCCCAGACACATTTCCTTCAAAACTCACCTTTTTTTTTTTTTACCTCTTTCAGCACTTGTCCATCCTTCATCGTCATCGTTTTAATTTTCTGTTCCAGCCTCCTTTAATAGCCAGGGGAACTTGCTGCAGTCTAGCCATCTGGATGTCATTTTCTTGCATCAAAAAACTTGTTGCGTGATCACATTTCAATTCTTCCACTGTTTTCATAGTTTATTTGCAGATGCTAATAGATGCAGTAGTCTCAAACAGCTTTCTTCTACTTCAGCATGAAGTAAGTAGCTTCTGTGAGAATCTGTTTCCTTGAATTGTATCTCAATCACTTGTAAGTTGTGCACAGTTGTAAGGGAACTGTTATGTCAATGGCCTGACCTGATGATTGAGCACCTGGTGAAGGGGGTGGCTGCTTTAGGAAGCACAGGTGCAAGCCATTCATCTGTGCTTCCCTGGGCTCATTTCAGGGTTAGCCTCTAAAGGGAAACATTTCCTGGATGAAGGCCACTTCCTCAGGAGGAGCATTGTATATAGCTTGTATATAGTTGTATTGGGACCCTGTCACCAGTGGAGTGAGACAGCTTTTTCCTGTACATGATTACAGATGTTTTTAATGATGCTTTGCCTGGTATTGCAAAGAACTTACTAGAAGCAATTTCACTGCTTCTAGGGGCTGACAGTAGTGGTTGTGCATTAGGGAGCTACTGGTGCAAAACCCAAAGACTTGGCAGGATTACATGGCAAAGAGTCCTGTAGTCTTCAGTGACATATAGGCAACTAATGGCCCATCTAGCATCCAGAGATGGCAGTTTCTAGAAGTTCAGAGAACTCTAATTCAGCATGTTTAGCTCTTTTTTCTGTAGAATCAGTAAGGTTTGCAAAAGCCCACAAGATCCTCAATTCCAACTGCCATCACAACACCATAAATTCTATGGTGTTAAAGCCCTTGCTACAATATATTCAGCTCTTCAATGGATGCTTAACTTTCCCATCCTCCAGTGCTTCTAAAAATTTTTCTATCAGGACTTAGCTAGTATTTAATGTCTACTCTGTGCATAAGCCAGACCTTGTTTTGTTACTCATTTCCAAGACAGCAGTGGAAACAGAAAGCAAATGTAAGAAACTTAATGAGGCGTAATGAAAGGTGTACCACAAAAGACAGACATCATGTTTATCTAGGAGTAATGCTGATAGAGGTAGGGAGGGGAAGACTGCCCAACCACCCTCAGAGCTGGCAGTGGTGACGGACTTCTTTCAGGGTTTGCTCTCAGGAGCACGTGCTGATCTCAGGTCTTGGAGGTTATTGAGGTAGCAGTTTGTTGGGTCTCTTATTGTTGTCTTTTGGAAAGATCCTCGAATGCTTTGTTCCAGGTGTATGCTGTGTTTGAGCTCAATCTGTATGTGTTTTGGATGACCTTTAAAGAAGAGAAAGAGAAGGCCCGTCATTAAGCCCAGCTAAGCAGAGGTCATTTGAGCCACAGCAACAAACAGCAAACATCATAAATGATCACAGAGGAAATCTGGAGACTTCACTCTCCCCACACTGTGGGGCTTTTTATTTGTTTCAGTAACTTTCCAACACATGTAGGATAATCATAAAATCCTAGAATGGCCTGGGTTGCACAGGAGCACAGTGCTCATCCAGTTCCAACCCCCTGCTGTGTGCAGGTCACCAACCAGCAGCCCAGGCTGCCCAGAGCCACATCCAGCCTGGCCTTGAATGCCTGCAGGGATGGGGCATCCACAGCCTCCTTGGGCAACCTGTGCCAGTGCCTCACCACCCTCTAAAGGCATAAGTTCCAAAATTTTGAGGGACAAATGACTGCCTTGTGAAATGTCACAAAACATTCCCATATCATTTACTATGGCTCCTGATTGCACACAAGAAGCACTTAAGACTAGTGACATTGAGAAAGAAGGGCAGCAAAATGCAGACCACCAGAATCAGCAGAACACCAAGGATAAACTGGAAGGTGAATGATCCAAATGGCTGTTATATGCTGAGTGAGATTGCTGAAATCAGCATAACGAAAGAGTAACTGGACAAAAGGTCCTGCAGAGAGCATAAAAAGCACGAGAAGGCTGTTGCTCAGCTGAACGCAGATGAGCTCAGAAAAGGA